CCTGGGGGTCTTGTTGAAATGCAGGTTGCAATTCAGAAGGTCCTTGGTGCGGCCTGGGAGTCTGCATTCATGATGAGCTCCCAGGCGATCAGATGCTGCTGGTCTGCAGACCACACTTTGAGTAGCAAGGCTCTAGCTTGTTACTGTATTTTTCTCTTCTTAGTGTATGTCAGTGTGATAGTATCATATTTATCTGTGCATATGTTCTCTGTGGCTCTCTCCACAGGACATATAAACTGCCCTGAGTGCAGGGATCTTTTCTGCCTCATGTCCTGTTATCTCCCCAGGCCCAGCACAGTGCTGACACATGGTAGGTTCTCAATACATGAGCTCTCCAGGTGACGAAGCAGGGGTTGGAGCACATGGGGGGGCTGAGTGATGGAAGGTGGGGGTGAGGCAGATCATAAATATAATGTTCCTGACTCTTGACCCCCTATGTTTCCCTGTAGGTCAGGACTGGAGTGACAATGTGAAGAAAAACAGCCTGAGACCATAGACATCAGGTGATGTCTCTATCACCTGATGTCTATATAAAAATCATTTTTTAAACTGGAAAACTTGTCCCAACCTTGGTCTGAGTCCATTCTGTAGTGTCCTGGGCCTGAGCCCAGCCAGGGTTACTTGGGGTCTGGCAGCCCCAGGCATGGCTTGATTATCTTACCCCTTGCACCACATTTACATGTTGTTCCTGGCCTGGCCCTAAGGGCCTTGACCCAGTCCATCTGGAGCCAGTTCAGTTTGTCCATTCAGATACTGTGAGGGCTAGGCCATTGGCAGCTCTGCTGAGGCCATTCCAGTAAGCACCTCACTCAGCCTCAGTTTCCCCACAAGAGGGCAGGAGGGAAGACTTGAGAAACTGAATGAAGCTTGGGGTCTAGTCCTAGCTCCTGCTTTTTCCCTTCCCTCCTTTTTCCCACCTGAAATGGCCTGGCTGGACCAGATAACCTCTCATCCCTGGGATGTGTCATCTTTGAGAGCAGGAACAACTGAGTCCCTTTGGAACCACAGTCCTGCTATATCCTGAAAAGACCCCACTGTTCCCCTTTCCTGCCTCCCTCCTCTCTCCATGCCGAGAACTTGCCTGAGTCCAGCCTGTCCCCTGAGAACCCCCTGTCTGTCTTCTAACCTGACACGTGGCCGGCAACATTTTATCCAGGGCCTTCTGTCTGCCAGGGAGATCTGGGGCCAGTCTTGGTCCACAGCCTGCTGGCTGGTGACCATTCATGAGGACCCTCCTCTCACTCTTCCCCAGGTCTCCGCGTGCGTCCCACACTCATTCACTCACACAGCTCGTTTATTCACCCAACTACTAATTCATTCATTCTCTCGCTTTTTCACTAACATACTCATTTTCTGCATTCCTATCTCTCTCCCTTCTTTTCTCCCTCTAATTCAAGCCCGGGAACATGTCAGGGAATAAACTGGTCTCAGGTGGAATTAAAATGCCCATGTAGAGGCAGAATAACACAACGAGGCACAGGGGCCATGTGCCCAGGAGGAGTCCCCAAAGTCTGAGCTGGAGAGGCCTTAACAAAGATCAGCCCTCTCAGTTTATAGATGGGTCAAGTGAGGCCCAGGGGGGCCCAGGGCTGCCCCAGGCCACTGGGTAAAAGAGGCAGGAGGCAGTTGCCGGGGCATTCCTGGCCTGCCCACCACGCCGGAGTCAGCTCACTCAGCCCTGTCCACAGCAGAACATCATGTTTTCCAGTTCTGACTTGGTGACCCAGAGGCTGGGTTAAAAACGCAAGAACTAAGGCAGAGAGTAATGCCCTTCAGGACCCAGACATGGATTCAGAAGGAGTTATACAATCAGGGCTGGATGGACCTTCCTTTCAGAGATCTCCAAACTCTTCACTTCACAGCATGACGCTGGAGCCTAGGGAGCCTGGTCACAAGTGGGCCTGGAGGCAGTGCCAGAACCCAGATGACAGCTTCCAGCCATATGGTCTTTGGCTGTACCCACCACTCAGCGACCCTGGATGTGTGAATAGAAGGGAAGCCTCATTTTTCTTGAGGAGAAAACATTTGAAGATTTTTTTCCTCAGTAAAGGCCAAAACCAAAAAATCTTATAGGGCTGGGAATGAATTAATCTAATGTTTATTTAAGTAATCTGTTAAATTCTTTAACTTAATTATTAATTTAGAAAAAAATGCCCTTTTTCATTTCTAGTTTAGTAAACTATTTTACGCAAACTTTTCACCCTGCTGACTGTTTGTGGTAATATTGGGCTAATGTGACTTGCTAACAGTTTTGTTGGTAATAAAGCAGTACAAAAAGCACCCCATATAATGAAGACTGTCAGGTCATGAGTATGGCACAGCCCCTTCTTTCCTGAGGAATCATTCTGGAAAGAGCCTTATAGTCAGGCCCATGAGGTCGTTTTGAGCACCTGCCATTACACATAGCTCCTGGGTGGCAACACATGGCCGCAGCCTCTTAGGCTCCTTTGCCACACCAGAGACCTCATTACTGTCTCCCACCAAGCCTGGGACTCTATTTTCCAAGGTGACTGGACATCATAACCAAAGACCCTAGAATGTACGAAGAAGTGAATCTAATGGTCACCATTCAACAAATATTTGCTGAGCATTTGCAGTGCTGTGCCCTGGGACGGGTGCAAAACAAACTGCAATGCAGAGTGGCAAGTCCTAGCATGGAGGGATAAGTGATGGATGGAGGAAGCATAGAGCGGGAGAGTGGAAGTGGCCGGAAGGCAGTGCACACTTACTGAGGTCCCACAGTATACTAGGTAGTTCGCAAACGTCATCTCTAACCATCGTAATCACCTGTAGGTAGGAGTCATGACACATCCCAACTCCTCCTTGTCTAAGAACAAATAATGTTTGTTCTTAGGTTTATTACTTTACCTTCCTAGGCCTCAAGTTTTTCATCTGTAAGTGGGGACCACCTTCCACAATGATTGCTAGGAGGATTGAGTTCTGTCCTAAGAACTTTGCATATTTTATTTTAGTTTAGAATAATAAGCCCTCAATTAATGCTTGCTCCTGTTACTATTACAATGTGAGAGGAAGCTGAGGCTCAGAGACGCCTGGTGCTCCGTTGCACCCACAACCTGCAGTGCAGAAAGGATTAAAGCGGAAATTCTGCCCTTCGCAGTAGGCCCATGCCTGGACTTGGCTGCCTCCTCTGCCCTGGAGAAGCAAGGCCAACCGTCCAACACAGGATCACCCCAGGTGACTTGTGGCTTTGTGCACGGCCAGCCCACCCAAGGAACTTGGAGAGAAGGATGATTACCACTTTCCTCTGAGGCCTGACAGAGCTGGGTTGAGCCTCCTTTTGTCATGTCTGAACTGTGGGATCTTGGTCAAGTACCTCTCCTTTTCTAAGTCTCAGTTTCCTCATCTGAAAAGGGGAGTGCTAATGTTTTTGTGCCTCATAGGGCTGTTGTGGGGATTAAGTGAGTTAAAGAGTGAGAAATGGCTTTGAACACTACTCTGTTGTGCTAATATAAGCACAGTTAAGGCCGGTGACTTTGGGGTGGGTGAATATTATAATTCAATAGGAAGGGATTGTAGGGAGGTAGGATTCAGTTCAATATAAAAGTGAGCTTTCTCATAGCTCTGGCCAAAGGAGTGGAAGGGTGGGGTGGAGTGGAGGATTGACAGTTGGGAGGGTGCAGAGAGGGCTCCTGCCTCGGGGTGGAGGTGAGAGTGGCTTAAATGAGACAACCCCGAAGTCCCGTTCAGCCCAAGATCCCTTTCAGCCTAAGATCCCCTCCCTGCGTTCTCCTCCTCTGCTCTCCTCCCCTGTCAGGGCGGGAGGTATCATCACCCAGCAGGTCATTTTACACAGGGCAGTGTTGGGAGCAGGTACCTGAACCAGAACCCAGAAGGTCTTGCTCTTCACTTGACTCTGCCACTAACTTGCTATGCAACTTTGGGCCTTTCTCTGAGCCTTAATTTTCCTAATAATCTCATAAGTAAATATAACAAATGAAGTTTGTACACTGTGACAATATGGCTATGCAAAGCATTATTATCTTCCAACACTGCTGGTCAAAGTCAATGGCAAAGAGGAAGCATTGTAATTTGTGGAACTGCTGGTTAGAGTTTGGAGAGGCCTTAGTAATAATTTAGAATCTGCACAGATACTACATCTGGGGGTTATGCTTTGTGGTGTACACAGCATTTTCTCGGCTTTGTCTTATTTGATTCTCACAACACCTCAAATTTACAGAGAATATGGATACAGTTAATTTGTGTGACTTATATAACTTCATGCATCAGTCCAGAGCACTGATTGGAGGTGGGAGAGAGGTGATCCTGGGCTGGAATCCCAGCTCCAGTGGGAACTTAGCAAGTTCCTTAAGCTGTCTGCACCTTAGTTTCCTCATTAGTAAAACACGAATATTAAAACAGGCTTATGGTGAAAATTAAGTAAGATCACTCATGAAAGAGCTTGCTGCAGAACATGATATGCAAAGTAGGTGCTCAATAAATGTTAGCCAGCGAGCAATCAAGAAACTCAGCTAGGAAATTGCAGGACTAGGCTTCTGGCCCTGATTTCAATGCTCTTTGCCCCACACCAAGCTATTTCATTTCGTAACCCTCGTCGTCCCTTGCTCATTTCACAGCTGAGGCAACCCGGGTTGAAGAAGTGAGCTGTGCATTAGGAGGCCACCCTAAGCAGGCAGCAAAGAGGCAGCTTGGTCTCAGGTGACCCGAAAGAATTATTTATTGCCCTGAGGTCAAGTGCACCAGTTGCCAAAGGGAAAAGCTTCCCTCTAACTGGCCCTGCAAGCTGATGAAGGAAGAGCCAGGCTCTTGCAGAGGCAGTCATGTAGAGCTGAAATGACAAGCAGAAGGCTGGCATATCTGTCCCTGGGCAGATGGATCACCTGATGTAGATGTTGAGGCCTGAGCTCTGGGATTGGCCTAAAACAGGACTGTGTTGACCCAATGGCTGGGCTTTGGCACCCTGTCAATCTGCCATCAGAACCTAGAAATAGTTCTGGGCAGTGTGCTGGACAGAGTGTGTAAGAGAAAAGCGGCCATGCAGGTGCTTACCAAGCGCTACCCCAAGAACTGCCTGCTGACCGTCATGGACCGGTACTCAGCTGCGGTACGCAACATGGAGCAGGTGGTGATGATCCCCAGCCTTCTGCGGGACGTGCAGCTGAGTGAGCACAGGGGCCCGGCTGAGCCTGGGACCCCTGATCTCTACACCTACTTCACCATGCTTAAAACCATCCGCGTGGACGTGGACCACGGGCTGCTGCCGCGGGAGGAGTGGCAGGCCAAGGTGGCAGGTGAAGCTGATGAGTCAGAGAATGAAGCTGCAGAGATAGAGGAGGCTGAGGACGAGAGGGCCTCAGAGGAGCTGGACCTGGAAGCCCAGTTCCACCTGCACTTCTCCAGCCTGCATCACATCCTTACCCACCTCACCATGAAAGCTCAGGAGGTGACGAGGAAATACCAGGAAATGACGGGACAGGGCCTGTAGGCCTCGGACCCTAGGGAAGGTAATGGTGGCTATACTGGTGGGTGTCAGAGTACACTGAGAGACATTTCAGGGGAGCGGAGGGGGTAGTAGTGTCACCCAGTGGGAGAGGGACAACTCGGCTCTCAGACAGACCCACCCTCACGTCAGAGTATTGAGACTACAACCTTGGGGGGAGGGGGGGACAAGACCAGACCTGCCTTACTATCCTTCTGATCCAAAATTGGTGAATAAGGGCAGTGAACTGTTATGGAGAGGGAAGGAAAAGTGGCTTGTGAGTGTATATATCATGTGCACGTGTTTGTTTTTGTGCATGTGTGCATTTATTACTAAGTATAGGAAAGTTTGTAGATGTACAAGTTGAACAAATGTGTTCTGTCAACTTCTTTAAGAATCTGATTAAAGCTATGGACTGTCTCCCCGGAGTTCAGGTATATTGACACATATGTGTACATACAACTTCAGGGGATATGTCATCCACCAATCCTAAGAATCTCTGTATTAAGAGCTTCCATTTGAACACATAGTAAGTGCCAGCACAGCCTCTTAAGTGCTTGACATAGAATTATCTCATTTGATCTTTACAATAATTCTACAGATAGGTTTTATTTCTGTTTTACAAACGAAGAGACTTACTCAAGGCATGTGTATTTACTTAGGTGTGCATCGTGAATTCTGTTTGTGGCAGTGCTTCCCAACACTTTTTCAGGTCACAGAACATGGAAAATTACATTTACATGGCATATGTGGGTACATAGGTGAGGCTGCTCACAGTACTCCTGCAACTGGCAGGGTTACTCTGGCCATGCTGGTTGCAACCAGCCAAATGGAAAGCCGGGAGACCACTGTCGTGGTACCCTAATCCGTTCTGGGCACACACAAGTGTGGAAGGCAGGCCCATTGGAAAACCCTGTTGTGTGTACATATGCAAATGTGTTCATTGGAAAACCCTGTTGTGTGTACATATGCAAATGTGTTGGAGTCTGAGCCTGTATGTCTATGCACAGAGGGACTGTGGCTGTGAGGTGAGCATTAGCAGCAACCTGGACAAGCAGGTGGTGGAAGAGGGTTGGAGGTGGGAAGAGGACCTGGCTGTCATAGGTGGGTCACTCCTAGGTAAAGATCAGGAGAAACTGGATCACAGCACCTGCCAGCCCTTATCCCACAAACAGGATTCATCAGTTATAAACCACATCCATGTCCGTTGGAATCTCAAAACCGCCAGATGTAGGTATATGAGACGAGATTTGTATCTCCAGTTTACTAGTAAGGAAAGCCAGAGAGGTGAAGTGATTAGCCCAAAGTCACAAAGACAAAAGCAAGACTGGCCTCAACCTTGAGCTGGGTGTTTTTTCCACATACCTACTCTCTGCTGTATTGTTATCTTCATAATCTGCTTTAAGGGTGCTCTGTAATGATGGGGAATAAAAATGGACTCCCAAACGAGCGCACTGTAGCAGTGCGCCACTGGGCCAGCCCAGAAGTTCTTGAGTTAGACTGGGCTGAGTCAACAGCTCTGGGTTCAAGTTCTGGTTCTACCACTAATGAGCTGTGAGGCTTTCAGTAAGCCACTTCTCTGGGTTTCAGATTCTTTACTGAATAATAACCATAGTAGTAAAAATAACAGTTCATATTTGAATATTTTTATAGTTTTAAAATCACTTGCACGTCAATTATCTAATAGAATTATCATTCCCTTTTACAGATAAAAAACTGGAGTCCTGCAAAATAAAATGGGTCCAACGTTACTCAGTAAATGGCAGAGCCAAGATGTGAACCCTGGCCTAAGTCTAATTCTTTTTCTCTACACTAGTAGATCTTCTGTGTTCCTTAAAGCCTTAGAATTCTGCAGCCTGAACTGGAGGTGGAAATTGGGGATAGCAAAGTGGTAGAAACCTCACTCACTGGGCCGGCCCGGTGGCGCACTGCTAGAGTGCGCCGCTTGGGAAGCGCGGCAGCGCTCCCGCCGAGGGTTCGGATCCCACATACAGACCGGCCGCTCACTGGCTGAGCGAGGTGCGGGAGCAACACCGAGGGTTGCGATCCCGTTGCCGGTCCCGGCCCGGTACGGGCGCGACACTGAGGGTTGCGATCCGTTGCTGGTCACGAAAAAAGACAAAAAGACAAAAAAAAAAAAAAAACCTCACTCACTGACCAACCGAATAGCTTCAAAGACCAGAGCAGCAATTCTACACCACAATGCTTCAACACAATCTAACCTAACTGATTTTCATTCAATGAGGCAGTATGGTATAGTTTAAAAATCTGGGCATTTGTCCTGGCTCTGCCTTTGACCTCTGTATGACCTCAGACAACTTACTTCACATTTCTACATCTGTTTCCTTGTTAGTAAAATGTAGGAGAAACCTGACGGGTTATTCCAGCTCAGACAATCTATGATTCTTCTTACAGTGCCAGTTTTCCTACAGCAACACCCAACACTGAGTTTTTTCATTGTTCTTCCTGCTTCACTAGGCATGTGACAGTACCTTAGCTGTTTGAGTATACACTGACTTGGTTTTTTAAAATTTCTGCACTCCACAGATAACTTTACATGATAGAAAGCAGACTCTGTGATGAGGACACGGAGCAGTTCACTAGCCCTGATGATGAGACCAGAAAGGCCTGGACCTGTAGCTAGAAGTGAAGGCAACTCAGTTCTTCGGAATGCTTCTCTACCTTCCTCTGAACACCAATTCCTGGACTTACTGGCTTCAATCACCGGCTTACCTTTAGGATGTTTGCTGCTATTCACAGCTCCCCTTACTCCTTTCTCTAGCTTGGGGTAGTGACCAGTGGTTTATGAGGGACTAGACAAAGTTACCTGTCCAGTGTGGTACAGTAGAAAGAGAACTGGTGTTAGCATGTGACCAAAGTTCACATCCCTCCTCTTGGCAGTCAATCACTATGTGATCTCAGGCAAGTTATTTAAACCATTGGAGCCTAAATTCCCTCATGTATAAAATGGGGATAATATTATCTACCTCACAAGATTATGAAAATTAAACAGATGATGAATCAACCTGGCACGTAGAAGCTATTATAATAGGCTGATTTTTTCTCCAACTCTCATCTATGTTATTTGCTCTAGCCCTTGCTTTTTACTCTACAGAAGAGGCAGCAGAGTCCCATGGGTTGAGTAGTTCACCCTCTTGTACCTGCTGACCACTGATGAGGCCGAGCCTATGTGAACTATAAACCTATTCATTGCTGTAGCAATAAAGAAATAAAACCTTGTATTCGTATGTCTCTTACTTCTAACACACTTTCTAATATGATTCCATTTTTTACAGGTGGTACTCAAGAAAACAGAATTCATTTGATTTTGCTCAGATGCTGTCTGCTTATATGTATACTGCCACCTAATTTGGAGCACTTTCTAATATGATTCCATTTTTTACAGGTGGTACTCAAGAAAATAGAATTCATTTGATTTTGCTCAGATGCTGTCTGCTTATATGTATACTGCCACCTAATTTGGAATCACGTATAAAGAAACAATACTCTTATTTTCCCTCTAAAAACTAATCTGATTATAAAATCTGAACTTAGAACAAAAACTTTTTGGACAAGCATTTAGATTTCATAAGCCATAAAGAGTAACATCATTCCAGTTAGGTGCAGTCTTTTACTTCCCGCCCACCCCCCTCAACAAAATTATCAAAAGCTTTATTTATGATTGGAATTACTCAACAAAAAAGCAAAAGCAAGTGAGCCTGGAAAAGGAACTAAGCTGTTGTCTAGAATGTGCTCAGAACATTTGATACCTCAAAGTCTCTCGTTTCTAATTATACCAAATTCCACTGTAGTGTTAGCTACTGAACTCACTTTTTCCAGGATGATCTATCAGAGAACAAAGACCCCTTTTTGCAGTACCAGACTTCCAAATGTTCTCCCTATCTTGAGTCTCCTCCTTCCAAACCACCTTTTGTTGTTGCAGAGAGAGCTCAGAAATACAAACCTGATCATGTTATTCCTATCTCAAACCCTTTAGTGACTTCCTAATACCTATATGATTGAATCGAGATTATTTTGCATGAGTCATAAAACCCTCCATAATCTGGTTCTTTTTACATTTGCTTTGTATTAGGAAAGGAGCAGGCAAATCTTTTCTGTAAAGGCCAGATATTAACTATTTTAGGCTTTGCAGGCTGTAAATTCTGTCACAACTACCCAACTCTGTTGCTGTAATATGAAAGCAGCCATAAACAACATATAAACAAATGAGGATGGCTGTGTCCCAATAAAACTATATTGGCAGTGAGCCACATCTGGCCCATAGGCTGTAGTTTGCTGACTTCAAACTAGAACTAAACTCCATTTTTAAGTCTTCTTAAAACTGGGTAAACGAAAACTGACCATTCTCTGATTAACTATTTTTCTTACAACAAAAGAGTCAGAGTACTCATGATAACTATTTTAATTACAAGGTGTTAACACATAGATTAACATAAACTTCAGTTGTCATGAAAACATATTCCATAAAATTCAGAAATAACAGATCTCAGTGAAACTGGAGCAAGCATTTTGAAGACTTCAACGTACTGGATAGAATTCTTCATGAATTTCAGCATAAGTTTTCTTATCTATAAAAGAAGACAAAAGAGTTATTTTAAAATTATGTTTTAAAAATTGTATTTCCTTAAGAAAAATTAATATTCAATAATCTTATCGATAGAAACTCTACTATGGTCTGAATGTGTCCCCCCCGAACTCATATTTTAAAACCTAATCCCCAATGCAATGATGTTAAGAGATGGGGACTTTGGGATTAGGTGATGAAGGCAGAGTCCTCACAAATGGGATTAGTGCCCTTATAAAGCAGAAAGAACTCTCGCCAGGCACTGAATCTGCTGGCACCTTGATCTTGTACTTCTCAGCCTCCTGAACTGTGAGCGATAAATTTCTATTATTTATAAATTACCAAGTCTAAGGTACTTTGCTGTAGCAGCCTGAATGGACTAAGACAAACCCCTAAGAATATCCCTATTTTCTTGTCCTCAACAATGCCTTGGCAATTACTGAGACATTTTGGTTTCATCAAACTAAGAATAACTTTGGAGGAATTTGGTGACAACCAGAGGCTGCCAAGAGGGGCAAAGTGCTACCGAGGGCATTCTGGCTGAAGGGGTAAAGGAAGAAATGAACAGGGAAGGGTACAGGTCAGCTAGGAGAGGCTAGCACCTGATGTGGTCAAACTGTCCATGCCCCTGCTGTCAGAGTGTGAGACTCTTGGAAGACCTGCCAGTAATCTGCTGCTCAGAGACAGAATGGGCCCTGAAGCTATACATACTCCTGCTGACAGAGGGGGCTAGTGGAAATACCTCTAGGCAAACAGCTGGAGGTCTGGGACAGAAGACTACTCATCCCCTGGGTCTCACTCCTAGGATCAGTATTTTCAAGACTACTTCCAGCTGTAACACCCAACAGTATTATTATCAGGAACCAGTATTCCCCATTCCTGATACATCCACTACTCATGGCTTTATGCTAGTCTTTAAGCTCTTCTTTGCCAAAAAGCTGTATCTTTTTTTTTTTTAACTGTATCTTTTTGACCTACCATAAACATCACATATGTGACCGAAGGCCATGGGAATACTGACTAATAAAATTTTAGAGCTAATAGGACCTTAGAGATTATTCAGTCTAATGATATGTAAATGTTTTATATTAAACATTTATACCAATAGGAAAATCTATTTAAAATCTATTTATATATTTACAAGTGCAAAATTTTCCCTCACTCATTCATTCATTCACACATTTAATAAGGATCTGTGTCCAAAATACTCTGTAGGCCCTGGGGAGACAAAAAAAAAAAAAGTGTCCTAATAAGTTAAACTCCCAGCCTGCAAAGAGTTCACATATGTGCACATTTATGTATGTTTTTTTTAAAATATAGGCAAGAAAAGTTACATTTCAATTACATTCTTAGTAGAACGGAGATAGACTGTGCTGAGGGAATACCTGTCAATAGCTCAGTGAAGCCTTCACTGAGATGATGAATCTTGAGAAGGAATTTACTAGATAAATAGGGTAGAAATAGGGGCAAGAGGAGGAAGAACATATCAGGAAGAAGGTATGACATGTACAAAGTGATACAGGATAGGCTCAGGACAAAGCATTTCAGGATGCAAAAGATGAGTGATGGGAGGTGAGGCAGGGTTCCATGTACTTCAGGTCAGCTATTATTTGTAAGTGCCTACTGTGGATAGGCTCTGTGCTAGGATGGGGAAACAAAGATGAAGCTACAGTCCAGTGAAGGACACAGTCGTGTATATAATGTGGTGAATAAAAGGTATAGGCCAAGAGTTTCTACCAGAGACAGGCAATTAGCTCAGCCTGGGAAAATGAGCCATCCTAAGGAGTCTGGATTTTATCCTATAAGCAACGGACAGCTATTTTAAGCAGACATGTGATCAGAATTGCTGTCAGCAGAAATAAGACCAAAGGCAAGTGTAACAGTCCAAGCAAGAGATTATCAGGGCCTGAACCAGGGTAGTAGCAGCGGGAGAGAGAGGAGAATTCAAGTTGAGAAATATTTAGAACTAAGACTGGATGACTAATGGGAAGTGAAAGAGAAAGACGAAGAGGATTCTCAGGCTTCTGGCTTGAATGTCCAAGTGGACAGTAGTGCTATTCACTGAAGGAAGATATAGAGCAGCAGGAGGTTTGGGATGACAGAAAGGACATGAGTTTATTTGCTGTCCAAGGGACACAGAGGTACTTAGCCAGAAATGGGATATATGAATTTGAGAGAATCTGGTCTATAGACGATGATGTGGAAATCAACAGGATATAGAAGGTCCCTGAAGCAACAAGCATGAGTAAGATTAAACAGGGAAAAGGATACAGGGTAAGGAAAGAGGTTTTCTACAATTAACTTGAAATACCTTTCTCAGGGAAATCCTCTGGGTGTGATTTTATATACCCAAACATATCGTGGTCTCTCACAGCATACATGTAGTCCTGACGTTTTAAAAGATAATATCCAACAAAAAAAAAGGAAGTAACATATAGAAGCTGGCGATGCAAACCTGAAATTCAAATGACAAATCCCAAAGAAAGCAAAAATTAGTCAATGTGTACTAAGAATTACATTCTTATATTTCAGATATATATTGTTATGGTATTTATTTTGCTTAAATCAAAAAAGCCTTTCCACAGTCTATCCTGAACAAACAGCCTTGACCCTTGACCTTGAGACACTCTACATCTTCTTAAAGAAATCTGGCAATCATGAAAAAGAACATTAAGTCTGCAAACTTAACTAACGATAAAACCCAAGATTTTTAAAATTCAGGTTTCATAAAATATTTCATTGAAAAAGGTAGATGAGTAAGTGCAGGTTGAGTATCCCTTATCTGAAATGTGTGCGACCAGAAGTGTTTTGGATTTCAAATTTTGGAATTTTGCATACACATAATGAGATATCTTGGGGATAGGACCCAAGTCTAAATATGAAATTCCCTTATGTTTCACATACACCTTTTACACATAGCCTGAAGGTAATTTTATACAATATTTTTATAATTTTGTGCATAAAGACATGACCTATCACATTAGTTAATAAGATGTGGAGTTTTCCATTGTGGTGTCATGTCTGTATTCAGAATGTTTCCAATTTTGGATCGTTTTGGATTTTAGGATTGGGGATGCTCAACCTATACAAATCCTGAATCCTGGACTAAGTAATAAGTTAACTTTAGACCTTAACTAACTTGTATTTTAGGGCCTGTTCAGAATATGATGAGAGTGAAAGTCCTCTACAAATAGTCTAAAAGCAAAATTTGGTTTGTCCCCATATCCCGATTTATATTTGCATATTTATTGGTTACAAGAACAGTCAGTTATGCCACAAACATACCTCATTAGGAAATCTCGGAATTGGGAAGGGGACCCTGGGCGTGCGGATGGGGTTCCCAGGATTGTGGGTAGGAGTCCCAGGCTGGCAAGCGGGGATCTCAGGATTACGAGTGGGGCTGTATTGTGAGCTGGGATCCCAGGATTGCAGTGGGGACATGGGATCATCCAGGGAACGTAGGTGTGATCTCAGGCACTGGGCCAGGGGGGAAAAAAAAGAAAAGAAAGGAAAAAAGGGAAAAAGCAAGAAAAAAAAGGAAAAAAAATCTCTTCACTGGATTCTCTCTTGTACCCTCTAGATTCTGTACCATTTGCATGTACTACCTATTCAAAAACTATATTATAAAAATCACCCTATTAAAAAAATCATCCTAGG